TGTCCTCTCTGGGGGCTCGCAGGGAGGAGGGGATAGCCAGCCTGGCTGGCTCTGCTGGGACGGGGTGCCTGGAGGAAGGGATAGCATGGAGGTCTGCAAAGTGATGGTTTCTTGATTTGGCAGGGACCCCTGAAGGGCTTCCTGGAGGCCCTGGGGAAGCTGCAGAAGAAGTTCTATTCCAAGGGGCTGAGGATGGAGTGTCCCATTCGCACCTACCTGGTCACTGCCAGGAGCGCAGCCAGCTCGGGAGCCCGGGCCCTAAAGACTCTGCGCAGCTGGGGCCTGGAGACGGATGAAGCTTTATTTCTGGCCGGGGCTCCCAAGGGGCCACTGCTGAAGAAGATCCGTCCTCACATCTTCTTCGATGACCAGATGTTCCACGTGGAGGGAGCCAAGGAGATGGGCACTGTCGCTGCCCACGTCCCCTATGGTGTCGCCCAGAAGCACAAGCGGCCAGAACAGGAGAAGCAAACCCCGAACAGCAAGTAGCAGAGCTGGGCTGGTCCTGCGGCCCCCGGCGTGCGGCACAGACTTCACCCCGTGTGCCACGCTCTGACCTCGGTGGTGGTCTGCAAGGCAGAGCGCGTTTGCCGTGGCGAGCGCGAGGTTATTCCCCAGCGGGAGCCTTGTCGGGGCACGGATGGAGGAGGCGGCTGACAAAAGGCTTCCTTTTGCCTCTGTATTCGTTGCAGTGTCGTGGCGTTGTCCCCATTCCTCGCGGGGCCGGAGGCTCCCCTGTGCTGGGCAGCCCCACGAGCCGTTTCCGTGTTCATCCGTGCTCTGCGCTTGCTTCTGGCAAAATCCCTCGAGGATGGATCTCGCCTTTTGTGGACTGTTTGTGCCAGGCAGGTTTAACCTATTGGCGTTTCTTTAAAACCCCAGGTAATTCCCAAAGCCTTTGATTTACAAAGCAAACGTGCAGGCTGAACTGTTGAACGGGAAAGTTGGGAGCACGCAAAAACCCTTCTTGCAGCTTTGAAACAAAATGTTGACCCTTCTAAGTAAAATTAAACCATAATATTTTTCCTTCACAGACCCAGCCCCCTGCTCCCCAACCAGAAAAATCTTTCATGTCTGTCCCTTCACCAAGATTTTGTCAGTTGAACAGCTTTCCTTTCATGCACTACAATTTGGGAAAATAGAAACAAACGTTTATATATGCTAAAAAAAAAAAAAATAATCCTGTTTCCTGCTTGGAGCTTTGGGCTAGCGTATTGTTGGCCTAGGTTTTTAACTCTGGGTTTCACAGTTGCATGAGTTAGCACTTAAAAATAATAATCTCGGTGAGATGGCCAAAGCCCAACTCTTGGGTGAGCCGCCCGGGGTCTGCAGACACATGCCTAGGGCCTGAATTAAGTTAAAAGCAGGCCCTGATCTATTAGGGACATCATTTGAAGTCCATTTAAGTAAAGCTGCAGAGAATTTCAGCCTGGGGGGTTTAATTAAAGGATTTTTTCCCCCTTTCTAGGCTGAGCCCATATGAGTTGATAATCTTTTTCTCCTCTGCTTCTTAAAACCTCTGGTGTTTCCTAAAATAGACACCTCTGCTAGTGATGCTGGGAGAGAGAACCAAATCCCTGGTTAAAAAACAGGAAGAGATATCCATTGGAGAGCTGCTCCGAAACCGGTGTGAAAATCACACTGATGTTGCTGCACAAAGCTCTGTCCCAGAGGACGCTCTCTGGAGAAACATTTCAAGATTACTTCTTTCTTGTGGTTTTTTTTTCTTTTTTTTCTTTTTTTTTTTCTTTTTTCTTTTTTTTTTTTTTTAGGCAGCACACCCCATGGTTGGGCACAAAGGATGCCCAGCGTTATCAGACAGTAGTGTTCTGCAAACACCAACGCCATGGGCTGAAGTTTTCCAAGGTATGTGTCTGCCTCTGGCTCAGCTTTGCAGGGAGGTTTCAGCTAAACCAGCTCAGCCCTTCCCAGCAGCCGGGCTAGAGCTCGAGTTATCGCACTTTTGATGAATATACAAACAAGCTAGCGATGCCTTTGGTGGCTCTGGAGACTGTTCTCTCATTGCACTAAACCCTGCTCTAGCAGTGAAAAGCAAATTGCACTTTTTTCCCCCCCCTCCAAACTATTTCACTTTGATAGACTGTTATTTGTCACATCTGGGTGACAAGGACCTAGAGAAAGGTCTAAAATCCAAACAAAGTCTTGAAAGAAATGAGTATCTGAGTAACACATCTATTAATATATACAGGTTTATAAAAAGGTCTTGTCTTCTTAATGTGAACCCCAGACATTGGGATCTGAACTGTATCTTGGAGACCTTTTTGGCAGCTGGGAGGGGAGAACAGCCTGGCCTCCCAGTAAATATTTCCAAGGTGTTTCCTGAAGATCGCATTGTGGAAGCTCAGCTGAGCCCAGCTTGCAAACAGGCTGCACCAGGGCCTCCCACCAGCCCCAGAGGTGATGTTGTGAGAGGAACAGGGGTTGTCAGCCAGCCCTTAGGAACCCCGGGCCAGGGCAGGGTGCTGGTGGGATCAGATACGGTGCAAGCACAGCCCCTGGGGATGGGTGCTCGTACCGGGATGCGTGGTTTGGCTGAGGGGTGTTAGCAGTGCTGGGCTGTGCAGGAGGAGATGCCTTGTCTGAAGGTGCTGTTAGCTCCCGGGAAGCAATGTGTTGTGGTTTTGGGGCAGAACCCTGGATTTCAGCAGCTTTCACTGCTGCCTTTCCAGGCCCTGAGATGCACAGGGAGCTGGGGGCAAGCTGGGGGGCAGGGGCACGGTGCAGGCAGGAGTTTCGGTGACTCTGCTTAGGGTCCTCCTGCTGCCAGGGCAGCTTCGGGGCTCACTGGGAGACATGGGGCTTGGGGAATGGGCCCCCAGTGAGGTAGACCTTCCTTTGCACCTCCTGAGCCCTTCCAGTGTGGGGAGGATTTTCCGTTCCTGCACTGGCTGCCCCATTTGCTTTTATCCACATGGCTTCCTATGGGTTTTTTTTCTCTATGGGTTTTTTTTTCTCCTCCATCACTATAACTGGCAGACGTGGATTTGCTGCTTGTGTACTTTCCTTGTGTGCTCATCCGTGACATCCCCTCGGGCTGGGGGAGCGATGCGGTCCCCAGGACCAGCTGCCTGGGCTGGGCACATCTCCCACCCTGATGGGCCAGTGCGGTTGTGCCTCTTGTGCTGCGCTGGCCGACAACTGGACTTCCCCGCTGTGTGTTGTTGCTGTGGGTTTCACTTCATTGTCCTCTGGTGGTTTTTCTTGTGAATGGACTGCCATGTTAATGAAATCCCTCTGGGTGTTCTTCTGTAATAAACTGTGTTGGTCCCAGCCCGGCTCTCTCTGTTGCCGTTCTCACATGGGTATTTTGGTTCCCTGGTACAGCCAGCATGAGAGACTGGGGTCCCTGCTTGGGACCTCCCAGGTTTTATGGTGAAGGGGTGGGGGGGTGATGAAAAGAAAAAAAGGGCCTTTTGGGATTGAAGGGAATTCAGAAAATGTAATAAAAGCAGCTACCTGGAAACTGGAGACCTCTGGGTGAGGTAGGATTCCAGAGTCGAGATGTGCCATGATACAGCTACCTCCCCCTGCTTTGTGAACAGGCTTTTATTGTAACCTGGAGTCATGATGAAGTCCTGGATAAAAATACAATTTGGCAGAAGACTTTTGTCAACTTGATCTTCTCCCAGCCAACAGGTGGGAGGCAGCAAAAGCTTTTTAGAGGAGATTTATTGCTGCTGAAGTACTGGGTTTATCAGAATAGCGCCACTGCAGTTCTGGTGTTAGCCCTTCCCCGCCAATAAGGAGAACAGATGGGTTAAGGGGAAGCAACAAATTCTTCATCCATCACCAAATATAGCCAAGGAATGTCCGTAGCCCCCAGGGCAGCATCTCTGCTCTGGGTGTTCCTTTAAGGGATGGGTGGTGGAGAGGAGAGCATTCTCATGCAGCCTTATTTGCTGGGACGCCCATCCTCAATCCTGCATGTTCTTCCACCAGATGCCTGGAGGAAAAAAAAAAATAAAATCAAACTCCAGCACTGATAAGGCCCATGTTGTACCAGTGAAAGTTCAGGTGGGCCCACCCAGCCCTGACAGGTCAGGATGTCCATGCCAAAGCCAAGAGCTGGCTCTGATGTTCATGCAAAGACCACCCCGAGCCCATGACTCACTCTTGGGGACTAGCGTTGGCATTGGGTCATGGAGAGACATGGGCTGAGGCCATGCAGGGAGGGAAGGGAGAGGTTTGGGTGGTTGGGCCCATGATGCCTTGTTGCTTTGCTGCAAGCCTGAGTTTTTATTTCTGTTGCCTGTTTTCTGAGCTTTTTCCTTCATCAGGCATCGAAGGGCTTTGCAATGAGTGTGCTTTAAAATAAAGAACATGGAGGAGGAGAAAACGGAGGCAGAGCTGATGGAGAATTATGCTGCCAGTCAGCTATTGTCAGCGCAGATGTTCACAAGGTAATCATGGCCTGTGAATAGCATGAACAGCTTTTCATGCCAAACCCAGAATTTAACCCTAAGAACTTGTGGGGCTTCTTGGTAAGGCTGTGATGCCCCTGGTGACCAGCTTCATGGCAGGGAGGTCAGACAGTGTGAGCTCTACTCTCCTGGTTCTCATGTACGTAGGGTAAGTCATGACACCTCCTTGCCTCAGTTTCCCCATTGCTGTAACAGAGATCAGCATGATCCAGAGGTAACGTCTTCCTTGCAAAGAAAAGCAGAAATCCAGGAGTGCTTTGAAGTGTGGTGAAACCTCATAGCTCCATGGTGATGCCTGCATGCCCAGGAGCAGGTCCCAGCGTGTAGGGGCCATGCAAACACAGGGCTGTCCCAATAACTCTGGGCTGTTGGCCATGAGGGGTCCCAGGCTGCACTGGAGGGGACTCCACCACGTCCCTGCAGCGCATTCAGTTTTACGTCTTTTCCGGAGCGCAGAATAGGGGCCAACAAATGCGAGCAGGGACCTGCAGCCATCCCTGGAGGCCAAAATGTCAGGGCAGAAGACCTGGTGACAGGGTGACAGAAACACCCGGAGTTGGAAGAATAGATAAGAGGGCCTGGCGGCAAGAGAACAAGCAAAGGGCACTTGCTATCAGTGCTAGTAGGGCCGTGCCAGGATTTGGACAGCCTGACCATCTCGTTCCTTCACCACCGCTATTTATAGCAGTGTTCGCTGATGTCTCTGTCACCAGAGCCTAAAATGGTTCCCCCGTGTGCACCCAGGGTGTCTGGGCTCAGCCGTCCCGCGCTGGGGAGGCCACCAACGAAGCAGTGACTCAACGGAGCGTGTGTGAAGCTGCTCATTGCCCTGCTGACGGAGGAAGCCAGCGTCTCCCTCTGCCAAGAGGCAGCTCCACGCTGGGCCACCTCCTTGGAGGATGCACCAGACGGTTTCTGTTTAAGACCTGGCCCCTCACCAGAAAGAATCAGTGGGGTAAATAGACCCACCTTCCACCCAGCTTCTTTCTTCCCCCAGAACCGGGGCTTGTCCAGCTCACTCTGGGAGCCAGTGGCTTCCACAGCTTGGTATTTCTCCTTAAGGTAGCTGTGGAAATAGCTCTGTGCATTGCCCACGCTGGTGGAAATAACCCTTTGGTTGCTGGGCCGGAGCAAAATGCAAGAGGGCAAAGATCTTGTAACTGCAGAGCAAATATGCCCTGTTCCCCACCTGGAGATTCGCCTTTTAAAGAACTGCTTCGTTTTCCCATTCCTGCAGCGAAAGCTTCGTTTCCAGGGCTGCACTTCAAAGCTTTGCTGGCAGCGCTGTGCCGGATAGGACCGTGCACATAATCCCATCGAGGAGGAGGAGGAGGAGGAGAGGAGGGGGTCTCCGCAGCCCTAGGGCTACAGATGCCAGGCAAGTATGGCTGCAGCCACCAGGGAGCAGCAGCCAGCCCCACGCTAGCCTGGCACAACCGGTGCCAAATTTTCTGACTGAATGATTTGAGAGGAGATGGGCTGTTTAAAAAATATATATGTATAAATAAAATCCCCAGGGATAGCATCGAGCAGTCCTGCCCACAGGATGGGACTTTTGCTGATTTTCTCCCTTAGGGTGAGTTGCATGGTTATCCCTCCTCTCTGTGGCAAAAAAGGGGATGCAGAGCCCAGGACCGGCTCTGAATTTTGAAGCTTTACCTGGTGCGAGCTCATGTCCCACTGGCCGGGGGTACTCACCAGCAGCCCCACAGCTGGAACGGGCCCATGCTCACGCTGCGGCTGTGTCCTTGTCACCGCAGCCGTCGGCAGCGAGCTGGGAGCAGCGGTTTCCTCCTTGAGATAAAGCAAACCCATTCAGGGCCGGGCAAGTTAGCATCTGCAGGCAGCTCCTCCGAAATGGGGACTGCTTCCAGTCGCAACAACCCGACCCTTATGAAATGCTGCCTGGAGATGGCAAAGCCCTGAGCAAGGATGACCAGAGCCTTTATCCATGGAATTTTGTGAGAGGGAGGATAAATGAGGGGAAAATTTGCTCTCATTGCCCCGTGAGGAAAATCTGGCTCTGCCAGCCCCGCACGGCGCTTGCTTTTGGGCAACATCTGCCAGCAATTTGTGCACGGGTGGAAAGGGTTGTGCGTGCTGGAAATTCATGCCTGTCCTGACTGGAATGCGTTTTCCCTGGGGAACGGC